ATTTATATTATTATTTTTTTATATAATATTTTATAATAATATATAAATTATTATAAAAAAATTAAATTATATATAAAATTAATTATTTAATTAAATTTTTTTTTTATAAAAATAAATTATTAATTATAAAATTTTAATTAACTTAATAATAAATTAATAATTTTTTAATTATTTATCGTATTTTTTAACGTGATAAGCTCTACACCCATACGACCCACATTTTGCGGGTAAGCCCCCCCAAAAAAAAGAAAAAGAAAGAGGTTTTACATTGAGATGTCGGCTTATCCGAATGAGATCGCACCCGTCGATCTACTATTTACGGTCGGAACGGAGTTTAATGGTTGAATTTTACAAATAATGCGTCTGCTAAAAAGCCATAATGACCAGGTACAGGACCTTACCCCATAAGCTGATGCAAGAGCTCCGCCGTAACAAGGCAATCTGTGACCAGCTGACCGGCGAGGAGAAAATAGCGTCGGGGAATAAACCAAGGAAAAAAGATCGTGATGTGAAAATTTGGAGTTGATTTTTCTTTTGATTTTGCCTTAGCAGCCCTGGAGCTTAGGTCATCCAGCCCCCGCTATTGAATCATTGTTTAGCGGGGTCCTTGGCTCCTGGCCATTTTATTCTCAGGGCTCTGTAGCAACTTTCGATCTTGTTGACATCATCCGATATCTACTACGCTTAATCCTAGTATTTTCTCACACCGATACACTCGTTCCTTCTAATTCTAGGACTTGTCTTTTCCTCTTAACTTACGACTCGCCGTTGCACCTTCTTTCGTGATTTTGGCGCCATAGCCGAATATTGGTTACATTACAACATCACATCATTCGTTGGTTTACAGTCACCAATGTGGTATCTCATGCATTGGACCTGAAAATCGCTATTTACCCACAGTTGATATGGACTGCACGGGTAGGATGATGGTCTTGTCTTTCCTAAATTCCCGGTATCCTACGATGCTTAAATAAAAGCTCACTATGACGGCGATTCACCTATTCATTGCTCATTAATTAGAGAGGTTCCCATCGATATTCTACATCTAACCTGAAGGCTTTCATATCGCATGCTGGTGTGAGTAGGTACCTAGGTAAGTACGAAGGCCGTCTACCCCACGTTTTACCCCTTGTGGATCCGTTGGTTTTCCTGCCAATATACCTATGTACCACCTGGCAATCTATATTTTACTCATGATGCTTAATTGATATTTTCTAAGCAGTGTTCTTTTCCTCTTCTGCCCTTCATATTTTCTCCTCATAGTATCTGGCGATGGCCATCCGGCGATTTCAGATACTCTACCTAGTAGTGAGAGTACAGCGTCAAACTTTGATTGCTACGTGGGATCAGTGTGTACCTCTAGGTAAGCGTCGGAAGACGGACGCCTTCACATCAAATGCCCCTTCTTTACATTGGTAGGTAGGTAAGTACATGAAGATCGTCAAAAATGACGAGATCAGTTCATAAACCGCCATTCCCAAGCAATCTAGCAGGACACATACCTGCCCGATTAACATTCTGACAGGTTTCGTTCATATATCATGACTCTAAGTGGTTGACGCGTTCTATTTGGAGTGATTGTAACACGTGGCTGCAGACTCCGATTGGTCACGGCTAACAGGAGAAAATCAAACTTAAGCTTAATGGCTTAGGTAGGTACCTAAAGCAAGCCTACAGCGCACGATCTATCTCGGTCCCGATCGGCGCTTCGTCCAACGAGTTCGGTTCGTGAAACACAGGTACCTAAGGTAAGCATAATCCAATCTCATATCGCCCACACGCTGGCTTCGAACACGGCCTAGCCTGCTCAAGAATGCATCGCCTTCTGAGGGGAACATGCTCGAGAAAAAGTAGGCAACCGAAATCGACAGTTGTAGTAGTTCGCGACACAGCTTGAACACCAATGAAATACATCTCGGTTGACCGCTCTATCTTTAGCCATTGTGTTGTAACGACAGTCTACCAATAATCCGACGTGGTGACAATAATCAAAACTTTGATCAAGAAAGTTATATGCAAGTCAGACCGGGTTCGATGTCCGGCCAATAATGCTCGAACAGCATACATCCTCGTGGCAACCCGGAGCAGTACGAGCCCAAGTAATAATCGCTTTGATCAAATTTTTGTAGATAGTCTCTTGGTCATCGTGATGATCAAATATGCCCTCCTCCCGCTTATGGTCTGGTTATGAATGAATCAATTGGGTACTCGTAGTTTACAAGTAAGAAACCCGCCAATGGGGTGACATAATTCACATACGCTGCCAATAGTCTAGTATCAAGAACATTCAAAGACCGCTTTAAATTCCATCACTAGAGAGCAGAAGTGGATGAAGATGTTTTTCCTGTGATCATCCACAACTCTAACAGTAGGCATACCGCAAATCGCATTGGCGTCGTCATGGAGACTATTTGGTTTTGTGTAAGTCGATACTATGGAGTAGATCCTATTCCTTCGCAATAACTGCTGACAGCTTCTAGTGTCAATGTTCATATCGAACGTGTGGTGTATCATCGAGGCTTCATCCGTCATGCGTAAACTGCCAGGAACCCAGATGTCCGGATTGTATACAGGAGACTGTCTTTGGTGAAGAGGCGGGAGGAAGGGGTCCTTTATACCCAAGGAATGAGAAAGATGGGGTGACCATCGAACGTGAGGCTCTGCGTGGAGACCACCATGAGTTTGGGGCTCTGCAAGAAACAACTCAACCATTCACCGAAAGAGCCTCGCAGTTACGAGCTAAGAGCTCATCCGTGGATCAGATTCCTTTCAATTACTCAGCTGCTACCAAGGAAACCTCAGCAAATACACCTGAGCCAGTGCCCTTGCTTCACTATGGTTACAATGAGACCAGACTGACCGGACCAATTAGTGGGGATGAATCGGAAATCAGCAGGCCAAGTCTGGTTTATGCTGATGCTGATAGAGAGTGTACACCCCACAGTTGTCCGGATACTACTGATCCATCTGACTCCCCTGAAACTATTGACAAGGATGCGAACTCGGCCAGCAGACTCTTCGGGGAAGGCTACGTAAATCCTAGGATATACCACAATAATCACTCCGATTTGTCTGCAAACCTATATTATCAAGATCCAGACCCGATTGATGAATTGCTACTGAATACAGGTGGTGCAGAGGATGACGAATTTGGTCCATTCGATCTCAATTTAGAAATAGCGTATGATGGTGCAGACGCTGTTCAGCCGCAAAGGCTTCAATGGGATGCACCCGGATTCGGCTTCCCTACAGATGTGAATGCATATAATGCCGCATTTCCTCTTGATAACTTCAAGCTTCCCGATTTTAGGCTCAACGATACAATTGAAAGTTTGAGTATGCCTTACCAAATGCCAGCCACCGAGTCACCGACGGATCAAAGTGAGACGTCTCCGCCACCAGCCCCTTTTGCTCCAGGCCACCAAAACCCAGATCGACAACTTATTACTGAAAATGGACATGCCTCCCAGGATATCAGAGCTTGCATGTCTTGTTTAGCAACAGCAGAACTAGATGGCAAACCTCTCGCCTGCGTGTTCTACAAGTTCAATCCGAACGCGTATTTCAGGTGCAGCTCCAGAGAATTCAAGACTATTGGTCATTTGCGACAGCATCTAGACAAGTATCATAAATTGAAGGAATACGACTGCAAACGTTGCTGGGCATCTTTTAGTGATGAGGGGTCGCTAAAGAGACACACTGAGTGCCAGCCAATGGGCGGGATTCCCGTTAACGATCTGGGACCAATCTCCAAGGCTCGAGGTATTAATCCTAACACAAAGTGGCTTTCGACCTTCAAACAACTTTTTGGAGAAAACATCCCCCTCCCTGAGTGTCCCTACCCACATGCTAAACAAGACTTCCAAAATTATACGGTTCAAAACTTCGTCCGAGATCTCGAGGCGAAGGGAACCGCTCTCACTCTTGACCAAATAAAAGAAGTCGCCGCAGAACGGAGAGCACAGACAATGCCGCGGAGTCGATTTATTGTCGATCGATAAGTAGGAGTTGGATCGTTTTACCCATTTCAAAGATACCCTTTAACCTCAAGAAGTTCTGCTCGACTAGAGAATATAGTAAGTATCTCCATATCAAGCAGTTTTACATACATTGGTATTAACCTATCTAATCCAGAAGTCCCCTACATTTCATCAAGGACGAATCTCTCTAGAAGCTCGGTTCTCCTTTCAATATTATTGAAAGGCAAGCTTCATGCGCGAGCAAAGACGGCCAAATTTATTAGTAGATTACAACTACCTTGGCCTGGTAACGTGTTGAGAACTGTTTCGAATACAAGGCCATTGGGTTTAGGGGAAAATTTGTACTTCCAGCGACTTCAATTGTATGTGGATGGATTAGGTACCCAATTAGGGGCGTTTAGGGCAATAGCACGGATCAACAATGGGGAAATTAGGGCATCGACGCCCATCTAACCCCACATCTCTCAGCCTTTCAGGCCAGTTCCAATTCAAGCACTTCGTGATCCACATTCATATAATAGATGAAAGAAAAAAAGAAAGCTTCGAAGCTAATGATTTAGCGTCATGGATATGGACGAGCAGGGAGTTGAACCCTGGACTTCTCGCATTTCAGTATCGAAACGATGCGAAGCGAGCACTCTACCACTGAGTTACACGCCCTTAGAAACATGATTTCTCTAGTCTGATTGGCCAGAAATTTGTATTGTTTCCCATTATCTACAACAGCAATTAGGTACGTTCAAATGTTTATCTAATTACTACGATGGTTCTTAATTCTCCTATTGAATAGGTACCTCATCAATCTTTGTTAAGACCCTTTTGTTTCATAGAGAAAGGAAGAATGGTAGCAAGTGCCTCTGTGCATAGCAAACACATGGCTAACTAAGTCGACACTAGAATAGCCCCTTTTTGAGGATGAGGAAATGAATATACATATCCTCCGAATATCTACTAGATACCAATGCGAGAGATGAAATAGTATTAAACTAGAGGACTCACTTCTTGTCACATATTGTGCCATGCACTAATATACGGTTCGTCGCTAACATCGTCCCATAACCCATATAGACAGCACTTACTAAACCACATCGCTATAATAATTCCAGATAAAATAATTGATTAAAACACCATGATCAAGTCTTTGAAACTTCTTTGCCCCCAGAACCGCACCGTTCCCGAAATATGGTGCCGCAAACGTCTTAGTTCTTTGTTCCCTCCTATTCGGAATAGCCTTGTTGTCATCAATGCGCCTTTCCCACTCAAGGTCCAAGAAAAAAGACAAACGACAAACAGCATGTATTTCACTCAATGGCGCTGTTTCTTTGGGGGCTCGTTATTTATGTCTGGCGGTACGAGACGGCGAATCTTTTTCACTATTAGACGACGACTTTTGCCTGACCGGGCACTAACGAAATAACAATACTATTCAACCTGCTGTCGAAACCAATAAATAAACAGATTACACAGATTTCAGCGTCGTAAAAAAAGACTATAGATAAGAATTCGAGATTAGTAAAACTAGAAAAGAAATTCAAAAATGTCGGCACGCATCCAGGCCGAGAACGCGATGAGCGCGGTGCGGACGGCGATGACGGAAGCGCACGACTGGGCGGACGCGATGAGCCGAGCCGAGCTGCCGGACGGCACGCCGATCGAAAGGTGGAGTGCGTACTTCCTCAACAACTTACGAAGGGTGATCGATCAGGCGTGGGACGCCATCGACGCGGCGCGGGACCCGATAATAGCGCTTGAGGGGCGCGGGTCGGCGGTCATGGCGGGTAGGTTCCGCATGGAGATCGAAAACGAGGGGAGGTTGCTTATTGAGTGGACCGAAGCGCATGATCTTGAAAACGCGCCGAAGGTTGAAGATAGCGATGAAGATGGAAATGAGCCCGCTTATCCGACTGGAAATACTCTGGGCCAGGGGCCAAGTCACATGGGTGGTGGCAAACAAAACGTCCCGCAGGCTAATGATACCTCCTCAGCTGACGATGGCAGCAGCGGATTTGGGAGCGATAGCGGGAGCGGGAGCGGAAGCGGATTCGGAAGTAGCGATGGGAGTTCTGGGGGAGGGGGCAAGGGACCAGGAGGAGGTGGGGGCCCCCCAAGTGATGGTTCATCGCCTGTGTCATCAAGCACAGACGATGCATCATCATCCGATGAAGACGGCAGCGGCAGCGGAAGCGGAAGCGGGAGTGAGGGAAGTCCCGGACCTCAGGATCCGGTTCCTCCTAGAGTTCCTAAGGTACCTAAAGTTCCAGGGGCTTCCGTTTCCCCCAGAATTCCTAGAATACCTAAAGCTCCCGAGAGTCCCGTTCCCGTTCCTCCTAGGTACCCTAAGGTTCCCGGGGTACCCAAAGATCCAGGGGCTTCCGTTCCCCCCAGAATGCCTAAAGTACCTAAAGCTCCCGAGAATCCCGTTCCTCCTAGAGCTCCTAAAGTACCCAAAGATCCAGGGACTTCCGTCCCCCCCAGAATTCCTAAAGTACCTAAAGCTCCCGAGAGTCCCGTTCCCGTTCCTTCTAGGTACCCTAGGGTTCCCAGGATACCTAAAGATCCAGGGGTTTCCGTTCCCCCGGTAGTACCTAAAGTACCTAAAAGAGATCGGGATGAAGATGACCCCAGAACTTCTGAAAGCCCTAGACTTCCGAAAATTCCTAGAATATCTAGCAGTGATGATGGAAGCAGCGGTGACGGAAGCAGTGGTAGTGGTGATGGAAGCAGTGGTAGTGGTGATGGAAGCAGTGGTGATGGAAGCAGTGGCGATGGAAGCAGTGGCGATGGGAGTGGTGGGGATGGGAGTGGTGGGGATGGAAGCAGTGGTGACGAAAGCGGTGGGGATGGAAGCAGTGGTGATGAAAGCGGTGGCCCTCCAAACGATGATCCTCCAAACAATGATCCTCCAAGTAGTTCTTCAAGTAGTAGTGATGGAGGAGGAGGAGGAGGTGGTGGTGGTGGTGGCAGTGATGACGACGAGGTAGTTGGCGTACGCTGGGGACGTCCTGGTTTTGGGTACAACTTGTATAGGCTCGTCAGACAGGGTAACGGTTTTTCCCGGAGAATGCCTCGCCCGTGGTGGACAGCTGATATTAATGAAGCCTTGGGTTGACACAATATTGTTTACAATGTTTGTAAACATGTACATAGAAGAAGGATTAACGCTCGACTGTCATAGGTACTTAACCTTTCTACACAGACCTATCTAGGTACCTGGTACGATTCAGGAATTTGTCGTTTTTTGACTTGATTAAGATATCGGCGTTCAGGGGTTCAGGGGTTCAGTGGCGTACCGTTTCCAAAATGACTAGACGATCAGTTCGTTGATTCATCAAGTTATAAAGGTAACAAGATATTCAAATTTTCAATATAGACATTAAATTAAAACATGACAACTCTCCAAAGTCTTCATAATCTTACGATTGCCTTTTCCTTACTGTAATTGAGACGTGCATGGAGGTTTTAAGTGGTGTACCCTGGCTCAGTAGTCTCCAGCTACAATTGGTCGAGATTTGGATGCCGAGTCTAACACTATTAGCAAACCTAAGAGAAGGGCCGCCAGTCTTGGCACTCAAAGGCAAAATTGGCCGCGTAGTGTAGTGGTTAGGTATGTATACCTAGTATGACCCTAACAATTTCTGTTTGCAACTAGTCCGCTAACAATCACGATAGCACGCAGGATTTGTGAGTCTCTTTCGAGTTCGACTTCAAGACTTTCTCCTAACGATTTCTAGTGATGTTCATTAAAGTTTCCTGAGACCTGAGTTCAATCCTCGGCGGGGCCTTCTCAAAATGTTTTTTTTTATTTTTTATTTTTTTTTATAAAAATAGTTATCGGTAAGTCGTAGAGAATTAGTAGTGACAGGAATTGGAATTTTAAGTTGATAAATTATGGTGGACTAAAACTAAATGGGTCACTTCCGAATTGTGTCATGTGACTTGGTGTTCTCCTGCGCGCATCTTATATAAGCAAGGGTGGAGACTTCTTGGCCGCGTCCGCCTAAACTCCTATGTACCTGGTACCTTGTACTCCTCCCACTTCCACCATTCCACTATTCCACCATTCGACCATTACCAATTACCAATTACAACTTCGCCTCATCAACTTCTTTTATCCTGCAGTACGTTTGCTCCCCATCTTATGCCGGAGCACCTTCGCCAAATCCCATGATATACCATCTAATTCTGCATCCCAGCCGCAATGCCAGCGTATGTTCCAATCCACTCCACCAACTTACCGACGCGTCTAAACTGACATGTTACCATTGTGACTAGTCCGGGCGAACAGCATAACGGCATTGCCAATCCTTTCGAGGAGGCAAAACCTCACATTTCCGAATTCACCGCAACCCAAATAGCTACCTTGCAGTCGCGTTTAGAGAAGCAGTTAGGCCCCGAATACCTCTCCGCTCGCAGCGGCCCGTCCGGCCAAAAGGTCCACTATATCGCCGCCGAGAAATGCATTAACCTCGCGAACGAGGTCTTCGGCTTCAATGGCTGGTCTTCTAGCATCCAAAACATCCAAGTCGATTTCGTCGACGAGAATCCACAAACTTTCAAGATCTCTCTCGGCCTGTCCGTTATCATTCGCGTTACACTACGGGATGGCACGTACCACGAGGATATCGGATACGGACATATCGAGAATTGTAAGGGGAAGGCCGCCGCGTTCGAGAAGGCGAAGAAGGAGGGAACTACTGATGCGCTGAAGCGTGCGCTGCGAAACTTTGGCAATGTCCTTGGCAATTGTATTTACGACAAGGAATATCTCTCTAAGGTTACCAAGATGAAGGTCGGACCCGTCAAATTCGATGAGGATAATCTACATCGCCATTCTGATTTCGCCAAAAAGGCGCCGGATATTGTCAAGGTTGAGCCAAAGGAGAATGTGGAGAAGAGTGTTGTTGCTGAAAAGATGACTGCGCATGGTGGGTTTGACTCCGATGACATCGACTGGGCGGACGCTGATATCATGAATCTGTAGTATCGGATTTGCTTGACGAGGATTTCGGTGATTTTGACATGGTCGATTTTGGCGTTACAGATGAGGGTCACCCCGATGAGGTGATCCTCCCAGGCTCTCACGCAACGAGCTCCAGTGAAAAGTCTCAAACTTTACATACTAGCAACAACAGTGATCGCAATGCTCCATCTACTTCTACAAACAGTGCTTCAAAGCCTATGCAGCCACCCCCGCGGCCAGCCGTCCAACCCCCTAGACAACCCCAAACCCCAAATCAGCAGCCACCACAGCGGCCAGGCGCCTCTTTCCAGGGCCGGCCAACCCCCCAACAGTACCCCAAACCCCCTAGTCACGCTAACAACACCGCCCAACAAGCTGCAGCGATCAACAGAACAAATACGCCACCACCCCAAAACAAAGCAGCACCGACAGAGCAGCTCGGATTCTACTCAGCCCGCTCGATCAAAAAGGTGCCGGAAACCGCCACCCCAGACACAGCCATCATCCCCCCACAGGGCGCCAAGGCGTTCGACCCCCACCTAGATAGTCCTTCGATCCGGAAAACACCCGGCATCGATCACAGCTCCTCGAAACCGTTAAGTAGAGACGGGAAGCACGTCGCTCCCACGAAGAGGGAACCGGAACCGCAGCGGGGACCGGCTGGCGGTCCAGTTGGAAATAGCTTCTCTAATGCCGTTGG